TAGCAACGAGCGGCCCCCGATTTGCGTAGGGCGTCGTTGTCACTGGACGGGCGGGCTGGTAACCCTAGGGGACTGCGAGTCCCCGCTTTTCACCCGCTGCTTGTTTGGCGACCGACAGAAACGACATTGGCGAAACGTCCCCGCATCGCACTTGCTTTTCCCCGGGGGGCCCATCAAGAGGCCTTCATGCAGGGGGTATTCCGCTACGCCGCCGAGCACAATCTCGGCTGGTCCTACACGATCGCGCCGGAATCGCTGACACTCTCGGTCCTCGACCTCGTGGATTGGCCAGGTGACGGCGTCTTGGCGGCTCTTAACACGGCCGAGGAGGCCGAGCACGCCGCGGCAATGTCGATTCCTGTGGTGAACATCTCCAGCACGCTGGCGGAATCCCCTTCGCCACGTTCGATGGTCGACAACGTCGCGGTCGGGCGGATCGCGGCTGAGCACCTGTTGACGCGAGGCCTGCAGCAGTTCGCTTTCTACGGGCTCCGCGATGTGGAGTACTCGAAAAGGCGTTGGATGGGCTTCCACCAGCGGCTGGCCCAGAACGGCTTCGAGCCACAGAAGCACCTGGCGACGCCCACCTTCGGCTTTATAGGCAAAGTCTGGATCAAGCAGCATGAGGAATTGATCGCCTGGCTCGAGTCGCTTGAGAAGCCCGTGGGGGTGTTCGCCGTTTCCGACTACCGAGCGCGGCACGTGCTGGACGCGTGCGAGCAGGCCGGCATCCCCTCGCCGCAGCAGGTGGCGGTGCTCGGCGTTGATAACGAACAAGTGATTTGCGACCACGTCGTGCCCCGGCTCAGCAGCGTGGCCCGAAACGACACGCTCGAGGGCTACCGGGCCGCCGAGCTGTTGCACCGCTGCCTACGGGGCGAAGCCCCCGCCGACGCCGACGAACCCGTGCCGCCGCTTGAGGTCGTTTCCCGCGAGTCGACGGCGGCGTTTGCCGTCGCCGACACGCGACTGCGTCAGGCCCTGGAATACCTGCTCGACAACGTCACCGACCCGATCACGGTCGAAGAACTGGCGGAGCACGTCGATGTGTCGCGCCGCTGGCTGGAGTACGCGTTCCGCGACGCATTGGGAGAGACGCCGTACCAGTATCTGCAACGACAGCGGCTGCTGCTGGCGAAGCGGCTGCTCACCGAAGAGCCCGACGCGAAGGTCTATCGCATCGCCCAGCGAACCGGGTTCTCGTCCGTTAAGCAGCTGTCCGCGGCCTTCCAGCGGGCGTTCGGGGTGACACCAGGCGACTATCGCAAACTGCTCTAAAATTGTCGCAAATTGTTTTAGAACTGTTCATACACCTGCGTCTGTTTGCAAAGGGCGGTTGAAATCGCGCAGCCCTGCGGCGCTGTGGTCGACCGCGGCGTCCAGTTCGATAAGACTAAAGGTTGGCACGCGTCTGCCGGAACAGGCGTGCTCGCTGTCGGCGTCGCCGCGGCCCCTTATCGTTCATCTATTCCGCGATCGTATGGCTAGTTGCACATTGGCGAGTCGAATGAAACGGCTCGCTGGTCTTACACTGCTGATGGCGCTCCCTGCTGTTTCGTTGGGACAAGCGCTGCCGGCGTTCCCGGGGGCCGACGGTGCGGCAGCGAACGTCAGCGGTGGTCGGGGCGGGCTGGTCTACCACGTCACCTTACTCGACCAGAACTACAGCGATAATCGGCCGGGGACGCTCCGCTACGGCCTGAACGACTCCAACTTCGGTAGCCAGCCGCGGACAATCGTCTTCGATGTCGCCGGGACGTTCTGGTTAGGGCGTTTCGGCGCCGACCAGGGCCACGACAACGGTTGGGACACGCAGTCACGCATCGGTCTTGGAAGCAATGTCACGATCGCCGGCCAGACCGCGCCGGGTCCGGTGTACATCATGGGGGGCGTCGTCAAAGCGGGCGGCAACAACACGATTCTCCGCAATGTCACCATCGCGCCGGGCTACGGCATGCGGAACTTCTCGAAGCCCGATGAAGGAATCGGACCCACGCCGGGCGACTTCCCCGACTCGTACGTCTACGATGCGATCGACATCAGCGGCACGGATCAGATGATCGACCACGTCACGACCGTCTACGCGACCGACGAGACGATCTCCGCCAACGAGCTGGCGAACAACGTCACGATCCAGTATTCGACGATGGCGCAGGCGCAAAACTATCCGCAAGCCGACGCCGAAGGGGGCGGCAGCTTCACTGGCCACGGCCTTGGCATGCTGCTGCAAGCCGGTAGCAATGCAAAGATCACGGTCGCCAACAACCTGCTCGCCCACATGAAGGCCCGGCTGCCGCGGGTCGGCAGCGAAGTGGGGTCGGGGCCGTTCAACGACTTCCGCAACAACGTCTTCTACAACTGGCTCGGCAGCACCACGCAGGCCGGCGGCGGGCAGCGCAGCTTCAACAACTTCATCGGCAACTTCTACCTCGCCGGCCCCGGCGGTGAAGACCCAATAGGCGGGTCGAATCCGGGCGTCACCAACCGCGCGGGCGGCACCGGCGTTGGTGGTGGCAACAGCACCAATCAGGTCTATCAGAACGGCAATCTCCGCGACATCAACAAAGATGGCGACGCCCTCGATGCGTCCGCCGCGACCCTCAGCTCGGCAAACGTTACTCAAGCGTATGACGTCAACATCGGTGTCACGACATCCGCAACGACCGCCTACAGCAACGTGCTCGACCACGTCGGCGCCAACTGGTGGAATCGCAGTCCCGTCGACACACGGCTGATCAATGAGGTCCGAACCAGCACGGGCAAGATCAAAGCCTGGGCGGACGACCCGTTCGATCCCGATCCGACCGAAGGGACCGAGTGGCGCGAGATGCTCTCGTATCGCGCTGACACGGGGACCGGCGCGGCGCCGTTCACGCGCGACACCAACTGGGATCAAGAGGCCGGTGGCGGCGACGGCATGCCGACTTGGTGGGAGCTTGAACACGGCCTCGACCCACTGGCAAGCGACAACAACGGCGACTTCGACAACGACGGCTACACGAACCTCGAAGAGTATCTCAACGATGTCGCCGCCTGGCCCGCACCGGCGCCGATCCAGTTCACAGGCGGAGTGAACAGCCGCTACGCGCAGATACAGAACTGGACGGTGTCGGGCGTCTCCTTGCCGATCCAAGGAAAAGGGACCGTTACCACAAGTTCTAATTGGCAGCCCTCGCACTACGACGTAGTCCAGATCAGTGGCCTGGCGGTCGTCGATTCCGTCGGCCAGAACGCCTGCGACATCACGGTCGGCGCGGCGGCGGCGGGGTCGCTGAGCGTGACGGACGGCTGGTTAAAGGTCGCCGAGATGACGACGATCGGCCCGGCGGGCTCGCTTTCCGTCAGCGGTGGGGCGCTGCACACTCCGGGACTATCGAAGGACGCCAATGGCTCATTCTCACTGACCGGTGGAGAACTGCATGTCGATGCGGCGGATTTCGACCTCGTCGTCGATGGCGGCACGCTGGCGCCCGGGGCGACCACGGGGGTTCTGCTCATTGCCGGCGGCCTCACTGTCAACGACGGCGCTATCCTCATCGATATCACGCCTCTCGACGGAGCAACGAGTATCCTCGCCCAACACTCGGTAACACTCGGCGGAGGCCTTGTCGTCGACCTCAATGGCTTCACGCCGACGCCGTCCGACACCTACACGATCATCGAAGCGGCCGCGGTGTCAGGGGCCTTCGACAATGCGATCGGTGACCGGATACCGGTTTCCGGGGGGAGCTTCTTGCTAACGATCGACGCCAACTCTGCAACGCTGAGCGATTACCTCGCCTCGCTGCCGGGAGACTTCAACTACGACGGCTCGGTTGACGCCGCCGACTACACCGTCTGGCGTGACGGATTGGGGACCATGTTTACCGCGGCGGACTACTCGATTTGGGCCAGCGCTTTTGGCAGCAGTAGGGGGTTGGCTGCGACTTCAAGCGTACCCGAGCCCTGCGGGTGGCTACTGGCATTCGCGACAGGGGCCGTTAGGCTACTTCCGGGTCGCCGCCGGTGAACCTCTCTTTTCCTTCAAACTAAGTTGTCGGTTGTGAACAAGGCCGCTGCCTCAACCCTCTTCGCCGGCGTTGTGATCGGGGCGTTTCTCGCCACGCTGGGGTACGCGTTCATTGAACGGTCGCAGAACTCCGCCGGCGGTTCGAGTGGCGGTCCGCTGGTGCTGACGCTCGGCCACGGGCTCGACCAGACGCACCCGGTCCACCGGGCGATCGTCGAGTTTGCCGATCGCCTGAAAGAGAAGTCGGGCGGCACGATGACGGTGCAGATCTCGCCCAACGGCCAGCTCGGATCGGAAGTCGAGTGCATCGAACTGCTGCAACGCGGCGCGCTCGCGATGACCAAGACCTCGACGGCGCCGCTCGAAGCGTTTATCCCTTCGATGTCGGTTTTCGGGGTGCCCTACGTGTTTCGGGATGAAACGCAGTTTTGGAAGACACTCGACGGGCCGATCGGCGAGGAACTGCTGCAAGCCGGCAGAGACAGCGGACTGCATGGCCTCTGCTGGTACGACGCCGGCGCGCGGAGCTTCTACACCAAATCAACAGCGATCCATTCGCCCGACGACCTCAAGGGACTCAAGCTCCGCGTCCAAGACAGCCGCACGGCGCTTGAGATGGTGACGGCGCTTGGCGGCTCGCCGACGCCGATGAACTTCGGCGAGCTCTACACGGGCCTTCAGCAGGGGCTCGTCGATGGCGCCGAGAACAACCCACCAAGCTTCGAGACCAGCCGGCACTTCGAGGTCTGCAAAGAGTACTCGCTCAACGAGCATTCGCTCGTGCCTGACGTATTGCTGATCAGCACCCGTTGGTGGGATCGGCTCTCCCCCGAGCAGCAAGCTTGGGTCGAACAGGCGGCCGAAGAGTCGTCTGTCTTCCAACGTCAGCTGTGGCGCGAGAAGACCGCCGAATCGCTAAAGATCGTCGAAGAGGCTGGGGTCAACGTCACGCGTCCCGACAAGGGGCCGTTCATCGAGCGGGTCCAGCCGATGCACGACGCGCTGAAGGGGACGGTCGTGGGCAATTTGATGGAACGGATCAAAGCCGAGGAGTAGGCGCCATGCAACAAGCTTTCTCAACGTCGTGCCGCGGACTGTGTCGGCTGCTGGAGTTTGCCCTCACGGCGATCGTCGCGGCTCTGGTGCTCATCGTTCTGTGGGGAGTGGCGACGCGGTTTCTGTTCGATGCGCCGAGCTGGTGGACCGAAGAGACCGCGCGGCTACTGCTGATCTGGCTGACGATGCTCGGCGCCCCGGTCGCGTTGGCGCGACACGAGCACTTGGGGCTGGAAGTGTTCGTCGATACGCTCGACCCGGCAACGCGTCGGCGCGTCGCTCTCTTCAGTGAGATCGTCGTGCTCGTCTTCTCGCTGACCGTGCTTCTGATTGGGGGCGGCTACCTCGTCGCCGAGACGCTACGGGCTGAGCAGAATACCCCGGCGCTCAACATCCCGATGGGTTACGCCTATCTGGCGACACCGATCGGCGGGCTTGGCTTGGTGCTGGTTGGCGTCGATCGGCTGTGGCGCCTCTTGACAACGACCAGCGACTCCCAAACGGAGGCGCTGCAACCGTAGTGGACCCGCAAGTCGCCATCCTGTTGGTGTCGTTTTTTGCCCTGCTCATGCTCGGGACGCCGATCGCTGTTGCGATCGGCGTTTGCGCGGTGCTGACGCTGATCTCGATGGGAGACGGCCCGGCGTTCTACACGGTCGCCCAGCGGATGAGCACCGGCATCGCGAGCTTCCCGCTGCTGGCGATCCCGCTGTTCGTCCTCGCCGGTTTCCTCATGGGCGAGGGCGGCATGGCCCGACGGCTGGTGGGCTTGGCCTCGGCGATCGTTGGAAGGCGCCGCGCGGGGCTGGCCTATGTGAGCACCATCACTTGTATGCTCTTCGGCGCTATCTCCGGCTCTGCCGCGGCGGCGGTTTCGAGCGTCGGCGGCATGATGATCCCCGAGATGGCCCGCAAAGGCTACAGCCGGCCGCTCAGCGTCGCCATCGCGACGACGGCGGCGACAACGGGCCTCATTATCCCGCCGAGCAACATCATGATCGTCTACGCCCTCGTGGCGGGCGGTGTGTCGGTCGCGGCGATCTTCATGGCCGGCGTCCTTCCGGGAATTCTTGTCGGCTTGGCGATCATGATCGCTTGCCGCTTCATCTGCCCAGAGGAACTCGACGACGACTCGTGCGCCCAGCCTTCAATCCTGAAGACCGCGCTGGACGCGCTGCCGAGCCTGTTGCTGATCATCATCGTCCTAGGGGCGATCCTTGGTGGCGTGTGCTCGCCGACCGAGGCGGCCGCCGTGGCGGTGCTTTACGCGTTCCTGCTGTCGGTGCTGGTCTACCGAGAAATCCCGCTGCAGAACCTGCCGCGCATCTGCTTGCAGACGGGGATCACCACCTCGGTCATTTTTTTTCTGATCGCCGCCAGTCAGGCGATGAGCTGGGTGATGACGGCCGAGAATCTGCCGCAGACCGTTAGCGCGGCGCTGCTGGGGCTGTCCGAGAATCGTTGGGTGATCCTGATCATCATCAACCTCATCCTGCTGGTCGTGGGCGCCTTCATGGACATGACGCCCGCGGTGCTGATCTTCACGCCAATCTTCTTGCCGATCGCGGTCCAGCTCGGCATGCACCCGGTTCACTTCGGCGTGATGATGATCGCCAACCTTTGCATCGGCCTCTGCACCCCCCCGGTGGGGACGTGCCTGTTCATCGGCTGCGGCGTCGGCAAGACATCGATCTCGCAGATCGTACGGCCGTTGACGCCACTCATCTTGGCGATGATCGCCGCGGTCGCCGTGATCGCCGCCGTGCCCGACCTGTCGCTCTGGTTACCGCGGGCGATGGGGCTGCTCGAATGACGGCCAATCGGCCGAACGCACGACGAGCCAGTTGACCACCGGCAAGCCATCGCTGAGTCGCGCGGCAAGCGTCTGCGCCATCTGCTTCAAGTGATAAGACGGCACGCTACCGCGCAAGTAGACGACGTTCTCCTCGATCACCACGCTGATATCACTGAAGCCAGCCCCCCAATGGGTCAGCCGAAGCGATTCGAGGAGCGATCCTGAGGCGGCAAGTTGCGCAGCGGTCGATGATTGCAGCGTCTTGATTGTTGCAGGCGCGCAGAGTGTCTTTGTAACGGCCATCAAGCGGGGTCATCCTTGCAAGAATAGAAATACGCATCGATAGACCGAGCCGTGCTGGACCGCACTGGCTCAGGGCGATCGAACGTAAAGAGACAAGTTCAGCCTGCGGCACGGTGATGCAATTGCCGGGCCAAAGCCTAGAGAAGTTCAATCCTCGCTGTCACTCAGTGAGAGAGGCCGCGTGCTTGACGACCAGCACTGGGCAGTCGGCGCGCCGGACGATCTCCTCGGCGACACTTCCCATCAGCATCCGTGACAGGCCCGTTCGGCCGTGGGAGCCAACGACGATCATATCAACCCCCTCTT